GCCCAAAATCAACTTTCAAAAAATATTTGTAAACTTTATCAAAGTATTACAAACTTATAAAATATTATCAAAATTAATCAAATCCGATAGTAATTAGGCACAAATTCTGTTTTAACAAATCATGTACATTTTTTGATGTAGGAGTATCAAAATGGGTCAAGATTCATGCATAAACTCAACTCAACTCAACCAATGAAGCATAATGAGTTGAAATTTTTGACTCAAATTAGTTGATGGATCAAATGAGTTATTGGGTCAAATGGGTCGATGGATGAAATGAATTGGTAGTAATGTGTCAATCATTTCAATGGTTTACCCATTTAATCAATCATTTAAAAAAAAAAATTGAATCAAACCAATTCAAATCTCTAAACCAATATTAATTTGAGTCTAACCAAATAACGAAATCGATTGAATATAATCCTTAATTTTCCCGGCAAAAATGTGAATACACAATTTTTCCGCCAAATATATAAATTCATGATTTTTCCACTAAAAACGTAAATCCGCAATTTTTCCGCCAAAAAAAGATTCATAATTTTTAACCAACAACGAGAATGTGAAATTTTCCCGCCAAAAACGTAAATCCGCATTTTTTCTGCCAAAAACGTAAATCCGCATTTTTTCTGCCAAAAACATAAATCCGCAATTTTTCTACCAAAAACGTAAATCCGTAATTTTTATGCGATAAGAGATCCCAAGTTTGACTAAGAAAATAAATGAATTGTAATATGATTGGTTTAATTAGAGTTCTAGAAAATGTTTAGTACCAAAACTGATATATTCATAATTAAATATTAAAATTTCTTCTTAATATTGGTGAAAACTGATATATTCATAATCTATTCTATTAAAATAGCAACACAAAAGTGAAAATGTCCAAAATAAATTTTATATTTACAATGAAATGCCATTACTACAGAGAGGGTATCCAAACAACTAAACACATTTAAAATATTTTAAACATGTTGAGAACTAGCGAGGTAACGACTTCGAATTATGAGAGTGAACAGAGGAGAAAAGAGAGTAAAGAGAAGAGAGCAACTTTATAGAATTCTTATTGTTCTTATTTTTTTCACATACCAATTTCTCTTCTTCATGGGTTCTATTTATAGGCATAGCACCCTTACATGCACGCGAACAAGTGGCGAGTCGTTCTCGACAAATGGCGCACCACACGACACATTGCAAACGGTACTCCGACACATGTTGCGACGGAGACGACACTTGTTGCGACTCGGACGACACTTGTTGCGACTCAGATGACAAGTGTGGAGGAGTTCAACTAGTGGAGAAAGTGTAGAAACAAGTGTTACACATGAAGGATTAGTGTCCATTTTGTAGACTAGTGTTGATGGAGAATCAAACTTGGTTCACAACAAAACATTACTTTTAAAAATAAAAAAAAATTCATATAATATGAGATTGAGTTAAATCCGTAACAGAAAATCTTTATAGAATATTCTGATATTTGATCAGAAAAAGAAACCTAACTAATTTTATTCAACAGAAAATACTACAATGATCTTTTATTTTATAGAGTGGTCTTTAGGCAATTTGACCCAAGTCATTCCACATTATATAATAAGTTGTTGCAACAAAAGCTAGTCAATATCATTACCCCAGTGAGCCAGAACTTTCCAAGTTATTGTATAGGATGTATAGTGACAATAAACAAAGCGAAAAATACACTACGAATAAGAAAGTTTCATGAATCAAATCGAAGACTATTGAAGAAATCCTAAAGTCGAAAATGGGTCTAGATCATAGTATTTCCCATCTTGCTAGACTCATATGGCTTTAGTGAATGGAAAAAAAAAAAAGAAGCTACTATTGCACATAATACTCCAAACCTTCTTTAAATTTAAATTAAATAACTGAAAAGATTTTTTAAAAAACAAAAAGAACCTAATAAATCTCAGATATATCCTAAAAATCACCTAAATCACACAAAATCTTTAAATCCCTAATCCAATACAAAATTAAGTATTGGATTATAAATAAAAACTTTAAAACTACATAATAATGCACCACTTTTTTCATATTGATTGTGTAAATCAAATCAATACTGATAATTAATTATTGGGAAAATTGGAAAAAAAGGATATCTACTTAAAAAATTGTCCATATATCTCATTTTCTTGTAGATTCGTCAAATAGGTTTTTTAAAAATCAAAACCCAACTTTACCCTCATATTCTCTCAAAATTAATTCAAAATTAATTTAAAAAATAAAATTTCCTAATCTATTTACAAAAATTAAATAGAAATCTAAAAGGGATTATGTTGTTCAAATGTTCAATCTTCTTAGATATCAATTTGAGCTTCCGATTTTTTAATTGACCTCTCTCAGGTGCAAGATTAATCTCTTCGACAATGTAAGCTTTCTCATTCTCGTTTTGACATAATAAACAATCAATTATTTTCATCGCTAGTATCTCTAAAGAACATTGGTTTGTGTTGAATCATATAGGTTGACTTGAACATGATAGTATTCCTCATACTCTATGTGAACAACACGTTGCCACATTGAAACCAAAGGGCTACTAAAGAGCTAAGGAGACTAGTAAGTAGGATTAAGCAAGTGTCCCTCTTCTTGTTAAAGTGGTCTCTACTAAATAGAAAAACTCCTTTCACTTTTGTTTTTTTTTTTTTGATTATGATGATGCCTTTTTATTTGATTGATGCTTTGGAACTATTTGTCTTATCAAAAATATATAAAAAAATGTGGTGGTGTCTTCCATGTGCACACACTTGTTTATCCTTTTTTTTTAGTTGAAAGTTAGATGATGATAAGGCACAAAACGTTGAAGAAAAAAGAGAGAATTCGAATGAAAACGCATGGAGTAGCAAAAAATCGAAAGTGGTGGCTTAGCTTAGGGTTTAGAAACGTTTTTGGTTTTAACTTTTTTCTAAAAACGTAGAAAACGATTTCTAAATTATGTAGATCGTAATCTAAACAATTAATATCCATTTAAAACGTAATCTACATTAAATATTTAGTTTCTTTTTCTGAAGATTTACTTTCTATATTTAGAGAATTCTAAAAATTTCAGAAAACAAAATCTATAGTATCGTAGAATTTACATTCTAAAAGAAGATTACAATTTCTGATGATGGTAGAAGATGTAGTAATTAGTAGAACGGCTATTCAAAAAGATTTAGAACATAGAGCAAAGCGTAGAGTACATGTTCTAAATATTTTAGATATATGATTTTTTGACTTCTAAAATTTTTAGAACAGAAAATTAGTCTAAAATATGTAGAACATGTACAAAAATGTAGAATACACACTCTAACTTTCACAGAACTCTAGAAAACGAGTTCTAACAAAATTAGACGAAACTTTATCTATCAAAATATCAACTTTTTTTTTAACCAAATCTCAAAAAGTTGACTTCAGATCACCTCTACTCTTGTATATCTACCTGTTTTTATGATTATTTTTTTTAAAAAAATATTTAAATTAGGGTGTAGGGGTAAAATCGTCCAAACTGACAATCTCACAAAAAAGTGTATATGGACAAATTTTTAAGTAGATATCCTTTATTAATGCTTCAAAAATATTCATACCACAAAGAAAAAAAAGTTTATAAGTACAAACACTACTAGATTTTAACTCGCGGTATACCGCGGGACGATTTGGTTAATTTTAAAATTTAATGATTATATATTATATAAAAGTTTGCAAATTGTATCATTTAATACGATATTTCTATTTTATAATTTATAATTATTAAATAATGGTATACCAAGGAAATTTTTTTATTTTAATCACGATCATTCAATATGTCTAATATTGGAGGTGTTAAAAATAATTAAATAAATATTTAATCTGTATTTAAGAAACGGATTAATGATGTTTAATATTTTTTTGATTCAAACCCGTCCCGTCATATAGCAATATCCTATAATATAATCATCCCGTGTTATTTTAACTATTTATATATGTTCAAATGTTCTTAAAATTTTATACTTTTTATTGATTTTAAATATATAAATTATAATATTTAAAACTTCTTAAAAACTCGTCACGGCATATAACCCCGTCTCACAACATAACCCCTCTCGTGTTATTGTAACTCTTTATATACGTTCAAATGTTAATAATATTATAAAAATTTTATTGATTTTAAATATATGAATTATATTATTTAAAACTTTTTAAATGTCTAAATTAAATATTTAAGGTAAACAATTAAGCAGTTAAACTAAAAACCAAACTAAGCGGTATACAAACTTTTAAATTTAGATGTTTGTTAAGTTAAGCTTCCTATTAATTCAGATTTGAATTTATTTTGATTTTATTTATTATATGATTCTGAATCATTGTCTAAAAATTTTAGCTAATATGGGGTTCATCAATTGGGTAATATATATCCGTTTTTAAAATTTTGAATCATAATACATGCAGGAAAAATAATTGAATTTTTTTTTATACTTTATGTATTATATGATAATTCAAAATATTTAAAATAAAGTTTAAACAAAGATGATAGGAAAATGGTAATTTTAAATCTTAACCAAATCTTCTAAATATCTATACTTTGAAACATGGAATATCCGGTTCATAATTTCTGATATCTTTTGACCCGATCAAAAGAAAATATAGAATATTCGGTGTAAGATTTTGAAGTAAATTTTGTATCGAATCTGGTACCCAAAATTTCGAATAAAATTTAATCCATCCGGTATAAATATACTTCAAAAATACTAGTATAGATATGTGGTTCCTGTTTTGTTTAATTAAAACAGGAATGGAGAGTATTTTGTAATGCTACAAATAGCAAAAACATGCATATATCCCACAGATGATTAACCATAAAACCGTTAATGGTATAAAATCCCATAGAATCTGAATTAATTATTCTTTAGCAATTTAGCACTAATTTTTTTCATTTAGATTCAATGTATTTTTCATTTATGGGAATGAGTAGATTTTGTTTATATATTTTCTTATATTTTTTTAAAAAATTATTAGGTTTCTTTAGAAAGTATATATAATAATATTATGTGACTCACAATTACAAACAACCAAAAGTATCGAAACAGATAGAGAAATGGTTGATTGCGCTTGGTCTAACTTACCGGAGGAGCTCCTCCACTTCATCGCCGACCGATTGTTCTCCGTCGTCGAGCTCAAACGTTTCAGTAGCATCTGCAAATCTTGGCGCTCTTCTGTTTCCGACGTCAGCAGGAGCAATCCTTTCCCGAGCCGCCCTCTAATCCACTTCAATCCCATCCCCCCTAGCGAAACCCTACAAGACGACGATGATTCCGACAACTTCGAGCCCGGCGCATTCCTCTCACGCGCAGCTTTCTTCAGAGTCACTCTCTCCTCCTCCTCCAGCAAGGGCTGGATGATCAAATCCGATGTGGACATCAACTCCGGGAGATTCCGTCTCCTCAACCCTCTCTCACGTTTTCCGTTACGCAACTCTACCGAGAGTATCAATCTTTTGGAGTTCACTGTCTCCGAGATTCGAGAAGCGTACGCGGTTCTTGCAACTCCGGAATTCGAAATTCGAAAACATAACTCCGGAATTCGAAATTCGAAAACATAACTCTTGGAAGATTTGCAACTCCGGAATTCGAAAAAAGTGCTCTTGTCAAAGTTAAGGAAGGAGAAGATCATCATCATGGAGTTCTTGGAATTGGTTGTGAAGGAAATATCAACTATTGGGATGGAAATGTCTTGAAGGAACTCGAACAAATGGGTGATCACTTCTCCGACATTATAGTTCACAAAGGAGTGACTTACGTCTTGGATTCAAGGGGCATTATTTGGTGTATTAATTCCGATCTTGAAATCTCTAGGTACGAAACATCACTCGATGAAAACATAACTAATGGTTGTTGGGGAGACTTGAGATTTGTGGAATGCTGTGAAGAGCTTTACATTGTCGACCGCCTTTCCGAAGAGAGTCCCCGAAAGAGAGGAGCTGTGGACTTATTTCACTACTCAAGAACGGTTGGTTTCAAAGTTTACAAGATGGATGAGGAATTAGCAAAATGGATAGAAGTTACGACGTTGAGAGACAATGCATTTGTGATGGCTACCGATACTTGTTTCTCGGTTTTGGCTCATGAGTTTTACGGATGCCTCCCAAACTCTATTTACTTCACCGAGAATAGATGGCCTATGGTGTTCAGCTCAAAAATGGTAATGGAAGTATTATCACAAGAAAGTCGGAATCTTCGAAGAGTTCTTTCGAAATGTTTTTTCCTAGCTTTCTTTGAATCTTGTTTAGGTCAAAGCTACTTTATTTATAATTAAGAGTACCAATCATCTCTCATAAAAAGCTTACTTTTCACCTCTAATAAAAAGCATATATAGTTTTCATCTTTATTTGTATGTTTATTGTAAGAATAATGAAGCATTTGGTAGTTTATAATAAAGTTTCTGTTTTATGTTATACTAGTATTCCCACCCGTAGTACGGGATAAATAAATTGATTAACACAATATATAATTTATTATGTAGAATAATTTTCCCACACAATTTTTTAAAGCAAAAAATATAACCATCAAAAAATATTTGTTTCCTGAGCAATATTGAAAGTTAATCTGATAAATAAGTTTATATTCTCAAAAGTAAATTTGATAAATAAATACTATACAAAAACACCATTAACCATTTATTTTCTCTCTTCACATAAAGATATCCAAGGAACAAAGTCTGTTACCATTTGAGTATGAGTGTCTTTGAATAGTTCCTGCTTCTACGACCGAAATGTGCATGGCTTTTTATAGATTTCCAGATTTCATGACATAAACAACTTGCAGAGGAAGCATCATCATGGAAGAACTTCTTTCACACTCATGAAATTTTTCGATGGAAATGATTTTTTTTTTTTGGAATGAATGTTAAATTTATTTAACCAAAAACTTTGTTACAATAAATGCATTCTTAAATTGAACGTTGTGCTTTGTCCCAAAAAAAAAAAAAAAAAAAAAATTGAACGTTGTTTTGAAAATTTAGAAAAAATAAGAAAATCTTGCACATTAATTAACTTCTTGAGTTAAACTATATCCTTAATCCATCTTCATATTTGCGGGGATCAAGGAGACGAATGGAGGAGACTTTGTTACATATCCAGAGATCCAGAAATTTGATTAATTGATCTGCAGCACTTGGGGGATCTCCATGTCGGCCCTTGTTCCGTTCCAACCAAATTGAATGGACAGTTGCTTCGAACAAAACAACACTCATTTCATGATTTTCCATTAATTGAAATAAATACAGCAACACATATTCCAATTCTAGAGAGCTTATTTCTCATGCTCGTAACTCTCTCTACCCGAACCAACTAAAACCCTATTGATCAACAATCCATCTTATGATCGACTTCAGCATGACTTCCCGTTGGATATGAAAACAAGTTTGCTTCAACGACGAGTTCAAGAAATGTGTGGGAGAAATCAAGAAACCAGAGATTTACATGAAAATAAGGAGTTACTTAGGGTTTTGTTTTTTGTTTAACATTTACTTAGAGGGTTGGCTTTATGAACAAGGAAATCGGGGTTGTTTCTGATAATCAAAGCAAGATCGATGACGTTCTATAGCTGATTTGAGCTGTAGACATTTTTAAGGAAGACTTTCAAGATGTTGAACATCATCTAGTTGCTCTTTAAGCATGTAAAAAAACGTCTAGACTTAAACCATATGATTTTTAACGTTAACTAACTTAAACATTAAAGAGAGACCCCCAATAGATAGAGATAAAAGTTAAAAGCTAAATCTTAGCCTTAGTTAATTTAGATATATAAAAAGCTATATTTGATACTCACACAACTCGGAAACATTTTATAGTTTTGAATAATTTGATTTTCTTTCCTCTTCCAAATCACATGTTTTGAACTAATGATTCTTAAATGTACATATAGCTAAATTTTATGTTAATGAACATGGAATTTATTCAAAGTATTTTAAATAATTTTACATCACTAATGAAAAATAATAATATCAAATATGATGTATTCAAAGGTTAACCATTATTTAGGCAAACAAAACTCTTTAAAAGATTTTAAGAGACTTTTAGATACAACCACTTTTTAGTTTTACTCAGTTTGGAAAAGTACCGTATATGTATAATTTTTAGACAATGTACCGTACATTGTTTACGGTACATTATGTATGTATGTTGTCATACATTCTTTCGTTTGCTACAATAAAACCATAGTTTTTGGTTTTTATAGCTTCGGCTTTTGCTACAAACATATATAGTTTGTAGCAATTGTTTATAACAATTAACTGTGCAAGTAGATACAAACTAGTCACGGAGAAATTAAAAAAAAAATAAGACATCGTACAAACTTATAGTAAATAATGACTACGTAAATATAAATATTTCTTCTAGCACATTACTACTCCCTCTTTTCCTTATTAATGTATTTTCTAGAAAACCAATTTGTTGCAAAAAAAATACATTTTAAGGTTCTATTCATTTTTTATTAGTTACTAATGATTAAATGTAGATTTCAAGATAAATAGTTGAGTACTATTGGTTAAAAGTTCTGAAAAACTTTTAATCACAAAAAATGATGTATTTATTATCAATTTTTTTTTGAACAAACTATCAATTTTTATTATGTTTTCTTAACATGAGGGAAAAACCTAGAAAAGATGTTCATAAGGAATAGCGGAAGTACTAGATAGTAAAAAGTTATTTGTATCAAAATTTTCCTCAAAACATATCTCGTAACAAATATGTTATAATGAGTTGCTTATATTTCTCACAAATTAGGCTATAGGAACAATATTCATTTTAATGATTTTTTTTCTTTTTGTTACTAGTTTTTATTGTAGCAAAAGATAAAAAGTGTGACAAATGTTGTTGTAACAAAAAATGGTTACAAAATATTTTTCGCAACATTAAACTTTTGACTCTAAACATTGTGAAATGTCAAGTCTGCAGTTTGTACTAGTTTCCAATCAAACTTATTGATACAGAATTTTGTTGGCAAACTTAGATTTTAATAAACAATTTATGTGTCAATGTTTGTAGCAAGATATTTCAATCAAGTAAGAGACCTCAAGGAAAATGTTCATTTAATTCCTCAAGTATTTTAATTGACAGATTATTCTTCAACTATCGTGTGCGCATATTAATTCCCCAAGTTTACGTTGATTACGCAATTTGAACTTTACAAAAGTTAGCGTTAAAATTTTTAAAAAGTATAAGTTAACGTTGACTAACTTTTTTAAACTCAATTTTGCGTAATCGACGCAATTTTGACGAATCAATTTGCAAACGTGAAAGTTGAGAAATTAAATGAGTATTTTCTGAGAGACCTCATAGTTAGTTAATCCTAACCATATGTGTGCACTTTAAAATCAGCATATGTGATTTAAGTTATCCTTATTTTAGTACTAAATGTTTTTTATTTATTTTGTGGAGACATAGAGATGGAATTGAGCATTACATGCTATGTGTATTGAGAGAGATCCGACGTAGACGTGACAGGACTTATGTAGATGGATAGGCATAGTCAATTGATGAAGAAATTCAAAGACAGGCCGAAGCCATCTCTCAAGACTCTGATGGCAAAACCAATGAATGCTCAAGGTTACACGGCTTGATGAGGACTAAAGATACTTAAAGGTATCAGTTTCTTTTCTTCCTTAGACTTTATGTTATATGGTTTGTATAAACTGTAACGTTCCAACCGCCACTTTTAATAGGTGCTACGTTCTCTCTCTGCATGTGGGTCCGCCCGAGTCCGACGGCTGGTCCGCTACGTCAGGGAGGATTTAAAGACTTGTTTACGAACCCTACAAATCACCACATAATACTTTCACGTGTTGTGACCTCACTTACACTGTTTCGACAATCACTTTCCGAAACGTCATCTATCCTGAAATTACTCCAGCACAAGCACGCTTAACCGTGGACTTCTCTCTGGATGTTTGATTGAAAATATAAGTGCACTTTAGTTATCTCCGTAACCAAATCATTTCTTTTAAAATTCTCTATATGCACCACCATATTTCTTGAAACTAGGGTATTACATAATTGTTCAAGGGTTCTGTTTTTTTGTGTACTTTGGAATGAATTTAGGTAGATACTTATACTTATAATGGAATGAACTTAGGTAGATAATTAGTATGAGAATCGTTTCTTTTTAAAATTTGAAACTTTTTGGCCCTAGATTATATTTCAATAAGTTAAGTTTATGAATACATATTGTAATTAAATAAAAATTTATGAAAATGTATTATAACTTGTCTTTTTTTTTGCAGTACGTATCAGCTAAGAAAGAAAAGCTCTGCTGGTGAAATAGCCAGAATTTCCTTAGAACGACAAGTCTTTACCTTATAGCAGCAAGTGACTACTTTAGTCGGGTACATGAAACAGTATATGCCGGAAGGAACAACTGCCAACTTCCGCTCTGCTTAGTCCAGACAAAGCACATGAGTTTATGTAACTACGCTGACAATTCAACCAAAGCTGAAGCTGGTACATGGTAATCCATCAGAACCGGTGACTGAAATCACGTCCATCATTCTAAAACCAAACCAAGTATCCAATGAGAACAACTAGCTAGGAAGATTACAACGATGATAAGGACCATACAAACAAACTTGCAGGAAAATGATATTTGTGACAAATATAAGTATATAGCTACAAATATGTTTTATAACTATGCAAACAGAAAAACTTAGTACCTTATCGATTTGGCAAAGTAGGTTCTGAAATGACATAATACCTCTAATGAGTTATACGATTTTCATGTACATACATGGTATATATATTATGTAGACGTACACCATATAACCTAAACATAGAAATATATTTTAATACATGTGGTGACATGGTGTACTAGTGCACGTACATACATGTGGACGTTACTTTGACATATGGTGCATGTACATACATGTTAAATTTAAACATAAACTATGACTAAGTTTGTGTAAGACTACATTAGTATGACATGTACGTATATGGAAGATATTGGTTTTAAAAATTAGTTTCGGATTTTTTCAATGTTTTTGACGAAATGGGGAAAACAGCTTAAGCTTGTTCGCCAAACTGAGTAACTAAAACTACAAAATGCTCTTCTCTTTCAAATGAGGAAAAATGTTTCTCCATGCAGTTATGCTATTTCCTATGTCAGCACAAAATTTCTCAGACCCTAGATTTTTGTTTCTAAATAACCCTTTGCTTTATCTTTCGGTTTGCGCACGGTAGAGCAGAGGAAAATGGAGGGAGCTGCTGCAACTCAAGTTAGATTTTACGATTGACAATGAGTCAATGACAATGGTTGTTCCACATTCTATATATGTTACTCCAGTGAGCAAGAACTTTGCAAGTTATTGTATAGTGACAATAAGCAAAGAGATATATACACATCATGAATAAGAAAGTTTCATGAATCAGATGAGTCTAAGATGAGTCTAGATCATATTATTTTCCATCTTCCTGGACTCAGATGGCTCTTATGAATGGAGAACAAAAAGCTGCTATGACATATAATACTCCAAAACTTTCTTAAATTTTAACCAAACCACTAATGAGATTTAAAATAAAAAATTACAAAAAACCTAAGAAATCTCTGAAATGTCCTAATAATCACCTAAATGGCTAAATCACACAAAAATCTTTAAATCCTAATCCAATATAACCCATAAATCAAGTCAATACTGCTAATAAATTATTTATTAATAATTCAAAATATTCATACTACAACAAAGTTTGTAAGTACATACACTGTTTTGGTGTAGTTTAGGGAAGTCAACCCAAAATCTTATATATATAAATGGAGAGAGTATTTAGTCATGCTACAAATTTCAGGTCAATGAACCATAAAAACCATTAATAGTATAGAATCGAATAGAATATGACTGAATATTCTTTAGCAATTTAGCACCAATAATTTGCATTTAGTTTCATTGTATTCATTTTCATTTATGGGAATGATTGAATTTTGTTTTATATTTTATTATTTCTTTAAAAGTTAAAAACACAACCATTTGGAGCCTAAAATGTTAGGAGTTTTAGGTTTCTGTTGAACGTACAAACGTAGTATATATATATTATGTGACTCACAAGTCATAAACAACCAAAGTAGCGAAACAGATAAAGAGAGAAATGGTAGATTGGTCTAACTTACCGGAGGAGCTCCTCCCCTTGATCGCCGCCCGATTGTTCTCGGTGGTCGAACTCAAACGATTCAGTAGTATCTGTAAATCTTGGCAATACTCTGTTTCGGGCGTGAACAAGAACTATCCTTTCCCGCGCCGGCCTATCATCCACTTTAATCCCATCGCCCCTAGCGAGACCATACTGCACAACCATGTCTACCGCTGCGACCCCGGCGCATTCCTCTCACGCGCCGCCTTCTTCCGAGTCACTCTTTCCTCCTCTCCGAGTAAGGGCTGGATGATCAAATCCGATGTGGACATCAACTCCGGCAGATTCCGTCTCCTCAACCCTCTCTCACGTTTTCCATTGCGCCATTCTTCCGAGGGCCTCGATCTTTTGGAGTTCACTGTCTCCGAGATTCGAGAAGCCTACGCGGTTCTTCAAGATGCTAAGGGAAGAATAACAACTCCCGGATTCCAAAAAAGTGTTCTTGTCAAAGTCAAGGAAGGAGAAGATCATCATCATGGAGTTCTCGGAATCGGTAGGGAAGGACATATCAACTACTGGGATGGAAATGTCTTGAAGGAACTCAAAGCAATGGGTGATCACTTCTCCGACATTATAGTTCACAAAGGAGTAACTTACGTCTTGGATTCAAAGGGCATTGTTTGGTGTATTAATTCAGATCTTGAAATCTCTAGGTACGTAGCTTCACTTAATGAAAACATAACTATTAATGGCTGTTGGGTACACTTGAGATTTGTGGAATGTTGTGGAGAGCTTTACGCTGTCGAACGCATCCCCAAAGAGAATCCCCGGAAGAGAAAATGGAATTTATTTCACTATTCTAAAACGGCCGGTTTCAAGGTTTACAAGATGGATGAGGAATTAGGAAAATGGATAGAAGTGAAGACCCTGAGAGACAATGCATTTGTGATGGCTACCGATACTTGTTTCTCGGTTTTGGCTCATGAGTTTTACGGATGCCTCCCAAACTCTATTTACTTCATTGAGGATTTACGGCCTAAGGTGTTCCAGCTAGACAATGGTAATGGAAGTAGTATCACCAGCAAGTCGGAATCTTCCGAGATTTCTTTCCAAATGTTTTTTCCTAGCTTTCTTTGAATCTTGTTTAGGTAAAAGCTACTTTCTTTATAATTAAGAGTACCAATCATCTCTAATAAAAAGCTTACTTTTCATCTTTATAAACAAAGCAATGCAACATGTTTATCTTAAGCACATACTTCTGCCATAGCTTCACATATAATACTTCACCATTCGAGTCTGAGTGTCCTTGAAAGAGTGCCTGGTTACACAACGGAAATGTGGAAGAACTTCTTTCACACACACGATATTTTTCGATGGAAATCAATAAACAAAACAAATTCATTTCATGATTTTCCATTAATCGAAATAAATAAAGCAACACATACTTCCAATTCTAGAGAGCTTGTAACTCTCTATACCCAAACCAACTAAACCCCTACAGATCAACATTAATACATCTTTATTGACTTCTTTGAGACTTCCCTTTGGATGTGATCATGTGAACAAGTTTGCTTCAGGGACGATTTTAAAAAACCAAGAAACCAGAGATTTACATGAAAAATAATTTGGTTGCTTCCTCTCAGCTGATAAAACAAAGCAAGGTCAACGACGTTTTATATAGCTGATTTGGGCTGTGCCATACATCTAATGCTCTTGAAGCGGTAAAACGTCTAGAGTCTAGACTTAAACCATAGATATAATTCTTAACATTAACTAACTTAATCATTAACGAGAGATCCCCAATTAATCGATATAAAAGCTCAAAGCTAATTAAATGTTTTAACTTAATTAACTAAGATATAAAAAGCTAAAGTCAATATTTAACAACATACTAAACATCACACTTTTTTTATACTCACAACTCGGAACATTTTGGAGTTTAAAAGAGTTTGATTTTTTTTTTTCCAAATCACATGTTATGAACTAGTGATTTCCAAATTTTTATTATTGAACATCGAATTTACTCAAAGTAATATACAATAATTTAAATCACCAATAATTTATAAGATAAATATCATAGAAGTTAAAAATTATGGATCACAAAACTCACAATTAAGACATACAACTAATACAGGGGTGAAAGTTTCATGGGAAGATATTTGTCGACTTAAAACAGAGGGAGGGTTGGGATTGCGACGGTTGAAAGATGTCTCGCGGGTCTTTGCTTATCGGTTGATCTGGAAATTATTCACGCTTTCGGGCTTCTTATGGGTTGCTTGGACAAAGCATAATCTGATGCGGAAAGCTTTCTTTTGGACGGCTCCTTCCACTACTTTGGGTTCTTGGATTTGGCGTAAGCTTTTACAACTAAGAGAAGAAATCAAGCCATTCATTCGGGTTTCAATCCGCAGTGGCAGCTCCACATCGTTTTGGTATGACAGTTGGTTACCCGCAGGACGGATACTAGATATAACAGGTCCATCGGGGCCGAGAAGTCTTGGAATACCATTACAAGCATCAGTTCGAGAGGCTTTTGGTCCGTGCGGCTGGAGACTACGTCGGACAAGGCTCTCACATTTGGCACCATTATTAGACCAGATCAGAGCTCATCCCCCGCCTACTTCCACTGGCCAAGATGAGTTTCTCTGGCGACATGGTCCCGATGACTATCAAATGCATTTTCGACAACCAGCACTTGGGAACAGATTCGAGCAGTCTCTCCTCCGTTAGCTTGGAGTAACGTGGTTTGGTTTGGACAGGGTATCCCTCGTTGCAGCTTCATCACATGGCTAGCGGTTCGCAACCATCTCTCCACAGGTGTCCGCATGCGGAGTTGGGGAGCAATCCAGCCATGTGTTTTATGTGGTGAACCGGATGAATCTCGTGATCATCTATTCTTTGCCTGTCTGTTTTCGTTCAACGTATGGTCAGCTCTAACGGGTCCCCTTTTACATCACCGAGAGGATCCAGATTGGGAGGTGACGTTGACACAAGTGGTGAGAGGAACAAGAAATCATTTACATGATAATGATATTCTCCTCCGTCTATGTTTTCAGACTACAGTCTACCTAATCTGGAAAGAAAGAAATATGCGGATACATCAAAGCGGGTTCTCCTCCATACTTCAGATTACTAAGCGAGCGGAGAAGTTAATCCGGAACCGGATCACCTCTCTGGACTACATGACCCGACCAAAGCTCCGAGTTCTCCTTCAACACTGGTTTGCTGTCACGGCTCAAGCAACGAGTACATGAAGCGGAAGCCACGGTTGCTCTTTTATTATTACGTATTTGTCATGGAAGTCTAATCTTCTGTTTGTTATCTCTTAAAACTCATTGTACATAGTTCCTCATTTGATTAATTAATTACACATTCAATCAAAATAATAATAATAATAATAATATATAATTGTTTCTCATTAAAAATGTGATAAAAAAAAAAATTGATATTTTTGGATCGACAAGGTTCAATCCATAAACAATTCTTACTACGCGGGGTAACGCGACTTAGTAAAATGGAACTCCAGTAGAAAAAATAGAGTCAAATGGATTTAACCACTTGACTAAAGACACATCCCGAAAAGAAAAGAAAAAAACCGCTTTTGAGTGTTTATTACTCAATTTGGCAAAGTCATAACAAGTGCCTACTCCGATCCATTTGGCAAAGTAGGTTATGAAATTACCAAATACCTTTGATGAAATATAGGATTTACATGTACGTACATGGTACTACATAGTCTCACATACGTGTTAAATTATAACGTTAACATAGCGCGTCTTTGCCAAACTGACTAACTAAAACTCAAAATAGCTATTCTAAATCAATATCTCTAAAAAAAATAACACCTCGCTATTGGGGATCTTTTTCTCTATCTGCATTTCCATCACAAGGATCTTCTCATCCCAATGAAGACAAATATTTCTCCATGCTACGTCTTATTTCATCACAAGGATCTTCTCATCCCAATTGGTTTTTGCTATTGACAATGGCAATGGCTATTCCACAATATATATTAAGTTGTCAATATCGTTACTCCAACCATCCAGAACTTTCCAAGTTACTGTAAAGAGATATATACACCAATGAGTAAGAAAGTTTCATGAATCAAATAAAAAATATTGAAGACATCCTTTAGTCGAAGATGGACCTAGATCCTGTTATTTCCATTCTCCCATCTCTCTGGTCTCATGCGGCTTGAGTGATTTGAGAACAAAAAGCTATGTTAACTTATCGCAAATAATACTCCAAAAGAAATTTTTTTCTTTTTATAAAGAAAACCTAATAAATTAATCTCTTAAATATCTTAATAATTTCACCTAAGGCCTAAGCCCATAAAATCTTAATTAAAATCCCTTATCAATAGTAAATCAAGTCAATTCTGGTAAGAAATTATTTATACTGCAAATGATATGGAATCCATTAATGGTATAAAATCGAATACAATATGGAATGAATGGAACGTAATCCTTACTATTCTCCATCAATTTAGCAGTAATATTTGGCATTTATAGTTTCCATTCATTCATTTTCATTTTAGGGAATGAATGAAATTTGTTTATATATTTTTCATTTCTTTAAAAATTAAAACGTTTAAACACAACCATTTGGAGCCATAAGTCTTGTGATTCGAAATCTTATTAGGGTTTTTTTTTGAAACTCCAAACGTTTCCAATATATATTATGTGACTCACACAAACAACCAAAGAAGCCAAAACAGAGATAAATGGTTGATTGTGAATGGTCTAACTTACCGGAGGAGCTCCTCCGCTTGATCGCCATCCGGTTATTCTCCGTCGTCGAACTCAAACGTTTCCGAAGCATCTGCACATCTTGGCGCTCATCCATTTCCGGCGCCGACAAAAATAATCCTTTCCCTAGCCGCGGTTACATCCACTTCGATCCTTGCTTGAACACTGAAGGTAGTAGCAATCAATTCTACAACAGTTTCTGCCTCGTGATCCTCTCACGCGCCGCGTTCTTCCGCGTCACTCCCTCCTCCTCCTCAAACAAGGGATGGCTGATAAAATCCGACACAATAATTAACTCCGGGAAATTCCGTTTCCTCGACCCTTTCTCACACCTCTCTTTGCCACATTCTTGCGAGAGCCTCGATCTATTGGAGTTCACTGTCTCGGAAATTCAAGAACCTTATGCGGTTCTTGAAAAATCCAGGGGAAGGACAGCTCGCGAATTCAAGAAAGTTGTTCTTGTCAAAGTCAAGGAAAGAGAGCATAAGATTCTTGGAATCAGCTGCGACAAGAATATCAAGTTCTGGACTGGAAAAGATTGGAGTAGACTCAAAGAGGCTGATCATCAATTCTCTGATATTAGAATCCACCACGGAAGAACTTACGCCTTGGATTTAAAAGGCGTTGTTTGTTTGATTAATTCCGCTCTTAAAATTGTCGAATTCGGACCTTTATTCGATGAAACCATCACAAATGGCTGTTTATAGAGAAGAGCTTAGTGGAATGTTGTGGAGAGCTTTACATTATTGAGCGCCTCTTTGAAGAGAATTCCCGAAAGCGAAAAGCTGATTCCTCGAATGATAATGGAAAGAGGAATACGGTCGGTTTCAAGGTTTACAAGATGGATGAAGAATTAGCGAAATGGAAAGATGTTAAGTCATTGGGAGACAATGCGTTTGTGATGGCTACCGATACTTGTTTCCCGGTTTTGGCTCATGAGTTTTACGGATGCCTTCAAAACTCTATTTACTTCACCGACAATGAGGAAAAAGTGGAAAAAGTGATTAAGGTTTTCAAGCTAGACAATGGTAATGGTAGTATTGAGACAATGTCAGAACCTTGCCAGAGTTGTTTCCAAATGTTTGTTCCTCGGTTTCTCTGAATCTTGTTTAGGTCAAAGCTACTTTATATTTTTTTCTATTAAGAGTACCAATCAGTCATTCTTTAATAACAACCTTAATTTTCATCTTTATTTTCAATATAGACAGTGATTTCTTTTGTTTTTACCTTCGAACTTAATCTATGACATGTTTAAATTTTGAAGAAACTTACCTTTTGTCCATTTAGGATTTTTTTAAGTACATTTGAGCAGGCTATATGTAAGTCTCGTTGATTCTTTTGTATGATAACATCATAAATGGGTGTGTAGCGACTCTCGCGAACCTCGCGAGGATGAAAAAGAAGAGCCAACATATTATTGCCTCTGAACTTGATCTATGACATGTTTTCATTTCCTCCATTGAGGACTAAATTTCTTTTAATGACAGGGCCGGCTCGACACTTTTATGGGCCCTAGGGCAAAAATAAATTTAGGTCTTAAATTTTTTTTATTAATGCTTTTTTGCTATAAAAATTTTTTGTATGATATTTTTATTAAAAAATTAATTATTAAAACAAAAAAAATAAATAACAAAAGTTATGGACCCTTCTAAATTTTATTTTTATCTTGTAATCTAAATTTTTAATACTTTTATTTAACTATTTTTAAAAATAGGACTTTTAGTTATTGAAAAAACGGGATTGGGCCTTTGGCCGTCGCACCGCCCGCCCCCTACTTGAGCCGGCACTCTGTCTTTGTCATGTACGTTTTCTAGATTTCATCTGTGCAAGTTCCTGCTATGAGGTCCTAACAGAGACTTACTCAGAAAGTGGTATATAGAATGCAAATTATGTATCAGTTTTGAATCAAATTAGTATGTGTTTATATGGCTACATTAGTGTCAGATTAAGTTCAAGTTGTTGGGCTCGTTCTTCAAGTTTGGTTCTCTTTCAAAACATGGTTCGGACACTGAAGAATATAAAGAGTATGAAGAAAAGAAAAGAGCAAGCATAAAACCAAATACTTCATTCAATCTTCTTTTTACATATTTGAGTAGAAAGAAATAACCACCAATTTAAGACAGAGGAGGACCTAAAAAGCAAATTAAAACTAGACACAAACGTAAAAAATTAAAAACCAAACTCTAAAAAAAATGAGAACTAAGAAGCGTTTAAGAGGGAATCAACCTTCAAGTTGGCCGCGGTGGACAAGAACTTCATGCAAATAGGAGGCTTAACACCAGCCAAGGCAAGTATAGAGCTTGGTAACGTCCAAATACCTTCACCGCAGATCAAACCTGAAGCAACGGCCGAAGAGTATGCATCAGCCTTTGGTTTATTCAGCTTCCTCCAGATGAACAATATGAGACTTCCCACACACATATCTATTGTGAAGTAACCTCCGATATAGAAAGGTATAGCCATAGCCATCGGGAGGGGGATAAACCGAGCCCACCTTGGCCCCACGGCATCCCTTACACCGTTTACAATCACTGCTGCTGCGAAGAATATATAGCAGAGCATGAGGCAGTGTTTGGGCAAAGCAGAGAATCCTTCTACTCCGAGTATGGACATGTTTCTGTAGACTAAGGCGTATGGAGCGGGATAGGCGGTCCCGGTTTGGCCAAAGTCGGGGAAGGCCTTGTAGAATAGCCAGAAGACGCAAGGAGAGATCACACAGCCCATGGCAGTTCCAATTGCTTGGCTTAGGAACATTGATCTCGGTGAGGCTAATGTCATGTAACCTGTTTTGAAATCTTGCATAAGATCAGAAGCTGTTGAGACAATGTTCATCATGACACCACAAGCTGCAAGTCCAGCTAAGACGCCTCCGTTAGCTGCACCAGCCCAGGCTCCGATGGTGAAAATAGCGAGTTTTCCATAAGTGGAAGCTAAGGACCAGTCAGTTAGTCCGCAACCGTAGGCATTGCAAAAGGCTAAGACAGGGGCGATTATGTACATGGTCAAAATGTGGTACCATTTGAGCTGATGGAAGATGTGTGGAACTGTGATGATTGAGACTATAGCCATGACTACGTAACCGGTTACAGCGAACCATGATGGGATTCTGTCTTTGAGGAAAAGCTCTGTTCTTCTTTTGTCGTCGTAAGAAATGGTTACAGTGGCTGGTGATGAACGGTCGTTGACAGGAAGAACATCTTTGTTCTTGAATTGCTTGTATAGACCGAAGACAGTGCGGCCTAAGACTTTGATGAAGTTGTAAAGACCATCACCGAGGATCATAGCTATGGCTATAAACACCTGAGAGCATCAAAAACAATTCAAGATTGTAAATCTCTTATCAAATGAAATAAAGGAAGGAAGAGATGCATAGAGATAGAGAGACAGTACCTTATAGCCTTGAAGACCATGGAGACTGCTTGATTCAAGATCAGCAGAATACCATTTGCCTTTTTGGGCACCAATGAGAGGCCACATAATACCCCATGAGAGAATTGATCCAATGAGAAGAGATACATTGATAAGATACGGGCAAATCATTCCAACACCAACATATGTAGCAGAGAAATCAAAGTAGAACTTGTTTTCATAGGCTTTGAGACCAAATGTAGGGAAGTTAGCGAAACCACAATCGTCACCAGAAGTAAAGAACCATTGAAAGAAACCCCACAAGAAACTGAATGAAAAGAACTTCCCCAATGCTCTGACTTGCTTCCTGTGAAATTATTGAGAAGAAAAGGGATCAGTAATCCGAAAAGACACAAGAAAGATTCAGGGCATGATGAAAGATTCTTACTTTGCGAGTTTGGCACCTTGAGGTGTGTGGAAGCTGTTAATGAGATGGGCAGTAGCAGTACCACTAGGATATGTCAATTTGAAGTCCACAATCATGATCTTTCGAAGAGGAACGACAGAGAAAAGACCAAGAAAGCTAACAACAAAGAGAAATCCAATCATCCAACCCAAATGAGGATTCTTTATGTTCATCGGAGTATTGGCTTCCGCAGATTGTTTAGCAACAATATCACTCATTCCAAACAGATAACTACCAAACCCACCTGTTCAAATTCAAACACAATCATTAAGCCAACCAAACTGGATCTTCATCAAATTTACACATATCATTAACATATTGGAAACAAATTGAATTCATATACTAAAACTAGTTATGGTTATGCAACACAAAACATTATTAAGCTAGGTATTGAATATTGGGAACATGTTAGATATGAATTGATTCCTTTAATTTAAATTAAAAACAAAACCAAAAATCTAATCATAACAAAAAAAAAAAAAAAAAATTAGGTCATGTGCCAGTTCTAGGTTCCCATTTGACACACATGGTGGGCATAACAAGTCAACTCTTATTAAATAATTTAAAGTCAGATCTCTAAGTGAACGAATCACGTGAGAGAGTCAAAAATAGTGGTTTCCTTGATAATGTAATCTCCATGCATTAAGTATTTTGTGTTCACATGAGTGGTGGGTGACGTCTGTATCAGTTTCGAAAACAGGTCAAATATTAATTTCCAAGCAAGACAATAAGTTTATTTAAAGTTACGAAAAATAGCCATTATTCTCTAAAAATATTGTGATTTCTCACTTTATTTATTATCAAAAGAATTACCAAACCCTATCCATGCAAGTTGAAAGTCAAAAGATAGTGGAATTAATTATTTATTTTATATATATGTAAATCTCTAAACTTATAAACTAATTTTAGTTTACTATAAATAAAAAAATTAAACTTCCTAGTTAAGTGCCGTAATCCTATGCTAAAACATCATTGACTTGACCTAAATACGAATCTCACGCGTCATTGACTTGCCGTGAAAATATGAGTTCTTATGATATATCACAAAAAAAGTCATACACATTGCTCTCGGAGAATCTCACGTCACTAATCAACTTGATTTTGATATTTTTTATTCATATCATCTATTCAAAAATACTAGGAAAATATAAAGCCCATACGCTTATTTTTTTAATTAAAATATAAAAAAATATCATATGATTTTTGTTTCAGGTTTTAATGTTTAACTATTACCTATATATCCTTTGTTTTACATTTACTTTTGTCTAATATAAATTTAGTTTCTTAGTCTAATTAAAATGTTTGCAAGATCTAAAGTTAAAATTTAGTTTCTTAGTCTAATTAATATATATATATATATATTATGTTAATTCTATGCATAATTCAACCTAATAATTTTTTTTAACATCTGTTACCTATATACCCTTTTTTTGTTTTTACATTTTTTCGTCTAATTAAAATTTAGTTTTATTTGCCGAGGATAAAAAGCTGGAAAAACAAAACAAAATGCATAAAATTAAGTAAAATAAAAAAAAAGTTAGCAAAATTAGATAATTTTATGCAATTTCTAGTATTGGATAATTATGTTATTATATCATTAATTATATGCATATATCAACCTAATATTTAATTATATGAATCTTATACAGGATAATTACATGAATATTATAAATATAACAACGTAATAACTTATAAGATAGTTCTGTTAATTCTCTGCATATAACCAATCTAACGATAGCAACAACCAACCTAATCTGACCCGTGATAATCATTAGATTAAATCTATTAATTTTGTTTAATCACAAACCGTTAAAAAGAATATACTAGTACTAGATTACAAAATATATTTTATTTATTTGTTATAAAGCGATAAACTCAAAATATATACTCTGTCCTTTTCCATAGAAAGCTCCCAGCAAAAAGTTTTAGCCGTAAATGGAAACAAAATTAAAGACGGCGTCTAATTCCATCTACGCTTTCACATCAATTAAAAAAACTTCAAAATTATTTTTTTTTTGTTAAAGGTATTAAAAAAAAAAATATTCACTGATTCATCAATACACAAAAAAAAATCAATTTCACTGATTCATCAATGGATTTGAGAAAAAAAAAAACGTACCGCTAAAAGCGATGCCGGAGGAAGCGACGACACAAGTCTGAATAACGGTGTTTTCTTGACGAGTAAACGGTTGTTTAAGAAAACCAGCTTTATTAAGAATCTTAGTCCAAGTTTTAACGAAGAAGAAACCAAGTAAACCGGCGGAGATATTAAGCGACGGAATAATCCCAGTCGTTAGATTCAGTTTCATCACCACAAACGTGAACAGAATCGCGAGTATAAAACTCACGATTAGAG